TACCCTTCTTCTCAACGCGGGTACCGTGTTTATGATCTTGAGACTCGACACATCTACACATCTTGAGATGTTCGGTTCCTTGAACACATCTTTACTTATCGTGACCTCAACGACACAACTCCTCTCACTCCTCTTCACGATGAGGAGACTGTTGCTCCTTCGCATGCTCCGGCTGAGACTTCATGCATGCATGACGTGCCCGACTTGGTAGTCACGCCTCTCTCGACCGAAGACATTATGGCCACGTCTTCCCCTAGCTCGGCACAATCTCCTTCTTGTCTAGACTCACCTCTAGGTTCTTCCTCCGATGGTAGCGTCGAAGATTCTGCTTCTCCTGCCATCGCTTCGTCCACTCTAGCTCCACCACTTTGGTGTAGTGACCGAGTTCGTTTCCCCTCTAGTTGACTCGCTGGTTATGACGTTGACCTTCCTGGAGCTGCCCACTCGGCCACAATCACTTATCCCCTTGATAATTATGTTACTTACCATCATTTGTCTACTGCTCATCATGCTTTTTGCCCGCATTCAGTGTAACATGTGAACCTACCTCCTTTGCTAAGGTTGTTCGCTTTCCTCATTGGCACGAGACCATGATGCGCGAGATTAATGCGTTAATGGCAAACGGCACCTGGTCTTTTGTCACTCTTCCTGTCGCTAAGGGTTATAACCAGATTGAGGGTATCGATTACCACGACACCTTTGCCCCTGTTGCAAAGTTGGTCAGTGTTCGATGTCTTCTTGCTGTTGTCGTGACCCGTGGTTGGTACATTCACCAGTTGGACGTTAACAATGCCTTTCTGCATGGTGATCTTCACGAGAAAGTTTATATGGCTATTCCGAAGGGTTTTGCTGCGCCTGGCGCCCGTCGTGTTTGTCGCTTGCACAAATCAATCTATGGTTTACTCAGACCTTGGTGGAGCTCAATTTTGTCCCTAGTCGCGCGGATCACGCGTTATTCACCTACCGCCGAGGTATGGCTGTCATCGCTGCTCTTATCTATGTCGACGATGTTATTTTGGCCGGCACATATATGGTTTTTATTAATCGCGTCAAGGCTTTCCTTCAAGGTCGTTTTACTATCAAGGACCTTGGCTCGCTCAAGTATTTTTTGGGCATTGAGGTGGCTCCTTCTCCCCGTGGTATTGTGCTTAATCAAGGTAATTACATGTTAGACATTCTTACCTCTACTGGTCTCGCATCTGCTAAGCCGTGTTCTACACCTATTGAGCAGAAACATCACCTTGGTCGCCTCCCCTCTCCGCCGGATACTGATCCAGGGCTTTTCGACGTTTGGTTGTGTGTCTTCTCTATCTCACGGTCACTCGACTGGACATTACATATGATGTTAATCTTTTTAGTCAGGCTATGCATGCGTCGACTAACTAAAGCTGATGAGGATGCGACCGTGTCCATGCTTCGGTATCTTAAGTCATCTCCTGGTCGCGGCTTATTCTTCGCCGCCGATACTTCTCTTGTATTGACCGCTTTTCGCATATCGGGGGGGGGGGGGGGGGGTGCTGTCTCTTACTCGTCCATCCACGACTAGTTACTTCATCACTCTTGGGTCTTCACCTATTTCCTGGCGGACAAAGAAGCAAACTGTCGTTGCCCGTTCTTCTGCGGAAGCTGAATATTGCGCTATGGCTAATACTGTTAGTGAGGTTCTACAGCTTCGGTTGCTTCTTCGTGACTTGGGCGTTCCCTCAGCTGGGCCTACGATCCTTGTTTTGTGACAATCAAGTTGCTCTTCACATAACATCTAATCCGGTTTTCCATGAACGAACTAAGCACGTCGAAATGGACAGCTATTTTGTACGTGAACGGGTTCAGTCTGGCTATATTTCTCCTGCCAAGATAGCCACCTCTGACCAGCCGGCGGATTTATTCACGAAGGGATTGAGTGTTGATCAGTTTCATCATCTCTTTGGCAAGTTTGGACTTCTTGATATTCACTCCTTCGCTTGAGGGAGAGTATTGTGACTCTATATGTCATGTGTCATTCATATGAGAGTCACTTTGTAATTTTACCTTTCTCATGTTGATATGTAAACGAGTTAGGTTAGGTTAACTAATTTTACCTTTCTCCTGCCAAGGTTAACTAATGTTGATATGCAAGCTCTCCGTGGACTAATCCTGCTCACATTGAGCAGGGAAACCACGTAAATCCCGTCTCGTATTATTTTCTTTTCCGTTATCATTGATTTTTACATACATAATTTTAGTTTCTTTCGAATAATTATTCTAATTCATTTAATTTAGTTCTTAAGTTATTTGAAAAAAGAACTTTGATATTTAACTCTTTTACAAAAAGACATATAGAATAATAAAAAACACTTCATAAATTAATGAGAGATTAGTAGAAGGAATAATTGATAGTCTAAATCTACATCTACATCTACATCTACATAATAAATAAAAGCCAAACGAGAAAACTTGAAGCCCCATTTCAAATTTTCTGCATCCAGAGTGAAAGTAGGAAGGACGTTTTGGTCTTCACAATTACGTTTTTTTTATTCATTAAAAATACACTTACTAGGATTCGAACCATGACCACTTTAAAGAAAAGCAAAGATCATAACCAATCACACTAAGTACATTTATTGTATCTTTTTAAATTAAAACATATAATCGCTGAGAAAAAAAAACCCCTTCCCCCATTTCAAATTCCCTGCTCCATGAGCGTTTGTAGGAAGGGTAGAATAGGGAGTGTCAATTTTTTTTCTTTTTCCTCTGTGGAACGGGGCAACTTACCGTACACATGCGGATTTAAACGGGTCCAGGAGTGTCAATTTTTTTCTTTAAGTCCTTTTATTTCTCTATGGTGGTAAAATATATATGAAAAGGCAAAAACAATACTCCTTTTTATTGCTAAAAAGAAAAAAAATTAACAATAAACTAATGCATGGATTCTAATGGGCTAACCGCTAATCATAAAATAAAAGAGTTGAATGGGTCTGACCTACACAGGATTTGCCCATCAAGTAAAACAAATGAACATTATGGGTTTGTCATTCTAAAACAAGCTATTTTCTCTAGCATAATATTTATTATGCTATTATTTCATATCTTAGTGGCTAAAATATAATGTATTTTAAAGTTATTCAATGGTTCAACCTCGACAACCCAATTAGTCCAATTTTTATCATTTCAAATATATTTTATGTAATTATTTGATATCATAATGATTAAATTATAGGGAATCGTTTGGTATTCGTTAGTAAAAAACTAAACAGAAAGATCTACTTGGTTATTTTTAACATTAAAACGATCCTAAATTTTTTCAGTTTCCTTTCGAAATTGTATAGTTTTATTCCCGAATCAGTGATGTGCAAATGGCGAATTGCAGTCATCTCTTTTCTTTCTTTATTTTTTATTTTCAAATAGTAAGTTTAAAAATAAAGAATAATTAGAGTTTGGCATGGGTCGGTCAAATAGGCTGAATTTCAAGTTTTGGTCCGTTTTGATCAAGTCTAATTTATAATCACATGGTTCCCTGATACCCGATAAAAATCTCAATCCAAACCAGTTTGGCAGGTGAGTTCGTGTTTATCACCATTTTCTAGGGATACATGAACGGTGGTTCCTATCCCAAATCGTGTTGTTCATTCTTGATTTCTTTAGATTTTATCATGGCTTGGCAAAAAACCAGAAAGCACAATGATGACAAGATGAAAGTTTTATAAAGCAAATTAATCGGCCAACGGGCCGAGTAAAAGCTAGCAACGATTGTGAGATGCTCATTTCCCGAAAACCGACGGGATAGGCAATTTTTTATTCGATTTTCTGGAATTCGGTTTCTATAAAACTTACTCCACCTCACCATATTACCAGAAACAATATTGTTTCACAAGGTAACAGGTACTTGATTTTGGTTCATAAGGCTGATTTCCCAAAAAAAAGAAAAAAACTATACAACAATAAGCCATACACCCCATTACATTATCAAATTTCATACCTCACTTTCCTCCGGCCAATGGCCGGGGCCTAGGCTAGTAGTTGAAAGAATATAGCCTTAAAAATTTGGAACGACAAATTTGATTTTAGAATGGTCAAAAGTAGGGGTGAACAAACACACCCGCAAACCGACCCACCCGTCCAACCCAACCCAACCCACCCGTATTTATCGCTAAAACGAAGGTTTTGGGTTGGGTGAGGATTTTCTTTTGCACAACCCGCCTCTTTTGGGTTGGGTTTGGATTTTTTATTACACAACCCGTAGAACCCGACCCAACCCGTGTTCCAATTATTGGTATGAGTTCGTAACCAAAAAAATATTTATGTAGTATATAGTCATACTTATGAGAAAATTAAGATATTTTGCCATGTTTTTCTCTTAAGGTCTCCCTAATCTAATGCATTCTTCGGCTTAAAGTTTAGACATAAATTTAATATAGCTATGATTCACGTAATTTTTTTTCTTGTGTACAATTTTAATAGAATAACATATTTTGGATGCGTTCATTTGTAACCTTTTTAGCCTATTTCAACAAATGTCATGAAAAAACTAGACATAAGTTGAAGTAAATCAAATTTTATGAAAATTCAAACAACATTTGTGAATTTTGATACCTTTCACCTTGGTTTATTCGTTTGAATTTTTAATTAGTTATAAAATATTTTTATGAAGTAGAATAATTACATATTTTTGTGTTGGGTTGGGTTTTTATTTAAATATATCGCCAACCCGACCCAACCCAATTAGAAACAAACCGTAGGGTTTATATTTTTTTGATTGGGTTTGGGTTTAATATTTCTCAAACCGTACTGCATGGATCGGGTGATTAAAATGTCTAAACCCGGACCACCCGACCCATGTACACCCCTGGTCAAAAGTATAGAACAAGTAGTATTGATAGAAATCATTATATCAATGGAACAATACTCGCCCGAAACAAATTGGAAGAGGTCGGATCACATTCACAGGTCAGAAATTACCATTATCATAGCCGAAATACTAATAGGACTGGGCAGCATTTTAAAATTTAAACAGAAGAAAATTGATGATGAAGACGACGGTGGTGTTGAAAGGAAAGCCATTACTCCTACAACTACAACAATTTCACCCTCTCCGTCGGACTAATTGCTGCTTCTTCATACTACACTCCCTCCTTTCCACTCATCCCCCCGCATCAACTACAAGAGCAACAGCAGGAAGAAGACCGAAAATCTTTCCGCCGCCGCCCGTCTCGATCTCAAACCCAACGACCTCCACTTGCTGCTACTCTCATCTTCAGGTAAGCTCTTCCTTTTTCTCCATTTTCACGCCGTCTTTCCTTCTTGCAGCTTATCCATGGGGTTTCTTGAACCAGGTGTCCGCCATGTCGTCCTCCTCGGATGATTTCTATACTTTCGGACCTTACAAGATTCACTCGAAGGAAGTCTTCTACTCCACCGACCTCTCTTACGCCATGGTCAACCTCCGGCCCCTCCTCCCTGGTTCGTCACCTATAAACCTTCACTGATCCAATTTTCCTCCATTCTGATTCTTATGAAGGAACGAACAAATGAAATCGATGCACTCTCTCTGATTTGCAGGTCATATCCTTTTCCGAGTTCAAAATTCTACGTCCCTGCAATTTTCCGCCTCTTCCATTGCTTGCATTGTGCTAATTTAATCAATCACATTTGATTGTTTTCATTATGTCTCATTGTTATAATTTTGGTATTCCTGGTTCGATAAGAGTAGTTTCTGATTGCCACAAATGAGAAGGTGTTGTCAAATCGTTGAAGTTCAGGATTTCTAACCCTAATTTCACCTAGAGTCTAGTACCTATTTGTGATCTTGCTTTACGTTTCCACCTCTGCACATTGAAATTACCAATTTGGTTTGGAATTTGTGGTTCACAGAAGGTTGAAGTCCTGAAGTGTTGTGTTATGGCCTATCAAAGGACTGATTGTGCTGATTGCAGTGCCATGTTTTCATCAAGTAAACTCAGTTCAATTGGTTTCGTTGACCACACCTTACATGTGCTCGTCTGTCCTAGACGTGAAGTAAAGCGCTTTGGTGATCTTACTGCTTCAGAAACTAGTGATTTATGGGTCACAGCACAAAAGGTTGGTTCCCAGCTTGAGCGCTTCCACGGAGCATCATCACTCACATTTGCGATCCAAGTAAGACTTGCCATTACCAATTTGTCCTTGTTATCTTGTTCTAATACCAAACTTGAACCTACTACCACTGCCAACACTTGCATATTTCCTTCTTTTTTGCTGTTAGCTGCACTTTGGGGTTTGAAAAATGAAGTATTTGCCCATTATAAAAAAATGAAGTATTTTGTCAGAGTACCTAGATACTCGGTTTTGTTCCATTTAGTTGAAGGATGCTTTCTGGAAGTGCTGCCGATACTGCTCAATATGAGTTGGAAATGGAAACTGTTTATAGCTTTGGCACCTGTCCTTACGTGCTTCTGTAGGAAATATAACATTTGTATTTGGTGTGCTGAAGAACTCGCGTTCTTAGTTTTAGATCGTCTGTCTAGTGATGCTCTAAATCTGTTGTTAATTGCGAGTAATCAGAATGAAATATTGATGTATAGCTATGTTGAATACAATGAGAGGGCTGTGTTTATTCCATCTACTATAGCTTGGTATGAGCATTCTTGTAAATCACAATTGATGTACATGAAGAAAGTTTTGTTAAATAATATGGGAGAAAAATTGTTAGAGTGCATCTACCTCTGCTTGTAACTGCCATGCTAATCTCTGACTCCTTGTTGATGTTTCTGATGCTTTAGGATGGGCCGCAGGCAGGGCAGACGGTGCCCCATGTCCATATCCACATCATTCCCAGGAAGGCTAATGATTTTGAGAAGAATGACGAGATATATGATGCAGTATGTTGAAATAACTCGTTTGCTTTGAATTTTTTAATTATTTTTTCAGTGCAGCCTCGCCCATCTGCTTATGTACAAACAACTATTGTTGTATCCTACCTCAGATAGACGAAAAAGAAAAGGAACTCAAGCAGAAGCTGGATTTGGACAAGGAAAGAAAAGACAGGAGCCTTGAAGAGATGGCTCAAGAGGCTGAAGGGTATAGGGAGCTTTTCTTGCAATAGATCCCGTCGATGAAGGAAACATATGCCTCATCTCATAGTTTACATTTTCTAATGGTTTTTGGGTCGTGCTCTATTCCGGCTTGTGGAAGATGTTTTACATTATTTGCTCGCCCCATCATGCTCACTATTGAAAATGTTTAAGCCACGTACATTGTGATTTAGATATGACAATTTGGCTGGATTGGATAATTTCGGGTTAGGTGATCTCAATTCTCATGTACTAGCCGCAGTGGGTGGGGTTATGTCAATCGAGGATTAAAAACCGGATTGTACAGGTGATTTTTCCACGAAAACCTCATACCGAAAACAAAATTGGTAAGCTAGCAGTATGAAACGGTTGAACCACGTTTTAACATAAAATACCTATCCCTGACTTTTTTGGTACAACCTTCGGTACGATTTTTCAACTGAATGGCTAAGTATCGCCCTAGTTTTACTATTATTGCCCTAAAATAATACATAAAATTGCTGAATTAACTTTAATTAACTAATAGAATTTCTTCCGGCGTGGCCCCACTACGTGCACTCAAAAAACCTCCCTTGCCAACGAAAACAAAAATCACTTCGCCGCCGACTGCTCCAAACACCCATCCTCCATCCCACCGCCGTCGGACTAGTCTGTTAGTGGAATAGGACTAGGTCAGTGAAAACGATCGAGAATGGAATGGTGAGGTTGATGGTGGAAGCCATAGTCATCGACACCCATTGTACAAACTCCAAACTTGCAACCAATTGGCATCTTACATATCAATGCCCACCAAGGCCTCCATGCCATATACATTCACTCATAAACAATCTAAGCATGCAACAAACAACGAACATTTTAACATTTGATCATTCATCACTCACCATCATCCATTAAAGATCATTCTTAACTATAGCAAGGTCATTCGATATGTCTCCATAACAAATACTACCTAAAACGAAATTCAAGCATGCAAGTTCACTATTGGAAGAGGGTAAAGAAACGTAAATCGATGTTGGGGTGCCTCCCAAGTAGCGTATTTTACGCCTTATCTCCAGACGTCTACCCTCAAGCCTTTAGTCTAGCTCAAGACCTCCTTGAAGTTGAGGTTTTCATATGCGAAATGGAGTGTCAAGTCTTGGTCGTTTGCCCCATAATTCAGTGAAGGCTCTTAAAGATGCAAATGCTTGAGACACCACCAATGAAACCTCAATTCACATTTCCTCTTCTTCTCTTTTGCTTATACCTGAATTCAATATTGTAGAGTAGTCACCATCACATCCATCAAAAGAGATTGATGATAAGGTGGCCTTAACTCGACAAATAATTGTTGCAAAAGGATCCGATACTAGGAGCCTTTCAAGGTCGGGTGACTCTTCGAGAACCTCGACCTAAAAAATCTCCAAGCATTCATCATCCTCTTATTCAACTTCCTCTCTTTCTTGCTTGATGTCTTCCCCAAATTTAGGCTCGAGCTCATCCTCTTCTTTGCTTTCTTCATCCTTGATCTCATCATTGCTCTCTTCCTCTTCTAATTCTTCTAGTGTTCAATAGGAGATATGATGTATTCATGATAAAGGTCTTCACTAGACGATCTATGAAGCTCTTCTTGCTCTTCCACTACTTGGAATCTTTCTTCCTCCGCTTATATCCACACATTTGACAAAAAGAATCCAGATGAAGGCTAAGGTCACTAGTTTTGATGCACTTGTACCCTATGTTAAAGCGCTCTATGGGCAAGTCCACCATGATTTTGATCATCGGTGGTGGTGTTGGATGAAGCATCCTTCATCCTTAGAGATTGAAATATTCTCATCTTTCCTTTTACAACTATTGCTATACTCACTAACTTCTTGATTGAGCTCTTGAGCAAGGTGAGCTACCAATAACCGAGTAGCTTCTCTTCGTCAAAATGCCTGTTTGGGCTCTAGTAGAAGGTTTGAAGAAGGTGGATTTATGAAGGTCTCTATCGTGGAATGTGCTCTCTCATTCTTCATCAAGAAGTGCGCAAATTCGAACTCCAAGTTCACTCTAGGCTCCGCGAGTGATGGAGGATTCCACTCGTGGTATGAAGGGTGTTCTTCTCGCTATGATGGATGAAATTAATGTGGTATTGTTGTTGATATAAAGGGGGTTGGTCTTGGATACCCAAATTCTTAGCTTGTATTGTCACTTGAAGCTCCGAGATACCACCAATTGGGCAGTTGGTGATATCCTCCATTGTTATGCCAATCATTTAGATCCATGTTTCTACGATATCTATACATACAAAAATAAAAACAACATATGAAAGCAAAAGTGTGAAAAAAATAAAATAAAAGACTTACAACCAACCTAACACAAGATAACTAAAGGAAACATGAAAAGTAAGAAATGATAAGCAAAAGAAATTATGGAATATAAAACACACTATCACAACACAAGATACCCAAAACAATATACAAAATACAAAAAAGTTACTAGATTAGCAGTTCTCGGTTTTTACTAATAACCTAAGAATTCCCACGCCAAGGTACTGAAAATTTGATTCGTGAGAGGTCGAGTTTTACATTTATAATTGATGCTCACTAACTTCTTACCTTGCAATGGCAAGTATACCAATTGTTGGCTCATAGTATAGCGGCTCGATCTTATTCCAAAAGAACCCTAGGCTTATTATTACTTCGCTCTAGACTCCTATCTAGTCAAATAGAAACGTTTGTTTAAAAACTAACCTAAACCAACCTAACTAACATCACAACCAACTAAGTAGTTGTGAGGTCGCTAGATATGAGATGGTTGTCTAGGTTTGAGTCTGTCTAGTAGTAGGATAGGTAGTCTATTGAAGTCTATGGCTATTTGAGGTGCGAAGGTCACTTAGGTGGGGATCTGAGAAATGGTAATGTCTCTCGATCACTCTTCTAGTGCACCAGCCCCATGTCATCAAAACTGGCTTCCCCTACTAGAGGTAATCTCCACCTCCTCTAAATGGGTTATACTATCCGCACACAAGTCAGGCAAGTCAATGGTCATGCACTTACCCGACAAGCAACAATTAGGTGAGCTCCTACCTAAAAGGGGATGGTCACCTCGTCTGCTAGCTAAGACTCTATATAATCTACCCTAGTATGGAAGCAATCAACACCATTCTCATGTCTAAACCTAGCGTTAACACATGTAAAACACTAATTGAACACAAGTCATGCCATATATCATTCAATCAACAAACCCTATTTACATACTAGAATTCATCTACCCTAAGCAACCTTCTAAGTCCCAAAAAGAGGAAGAAAATACATAGGTAATTTCTCTATGAAAACACAACCCAAATACCTAATTTCTCTCTCTCAAATGCCCCTAGTAATCAAGTTATCTTCATATTTATAGGCAGACATGGACAAACAAGTTCATGGCCTCGTGTTGGGAGATCGCGATCCAGAATATCCTTCCAGCCTGCGGTCTTCAAACACTATTGTTCCTAATTGCGTTGGAGGTGAGTTTGCGGGCCCATGATTACGGTCATGAGCTAGAAGTCGTGGCCACGATTTTTTGTCTCAGACTCGATGCAAAAGGCCCCGATATATACCGCAAAACTTATGTCTCTTCTTTGTGCATAGCCTCCTTGACATCCCAGCCGTGAACTATTGCACAGACCGTGAGTTCTTCGTGGCCTTAGATATCTTGATCGTGATCTTGGTGTCTTCCTCCGCTATGAACTTTGCCTGCACCCCTACTTTGCTCCAATGCAATGCGAAAATGCCCGGATGAACTTCAAATCGATCCCCAATCGATTGTAAACGAGCACAAGGCCTGTAATATCATCACAAAAACAATCAAACATAAAATATGACAAAGTGTGTGTGTGTGGGGGGGGGGGGGCAGTTAAAACACGACAAAGTGAGGTTATTCTCCATAAAAGCCTTTATAGTAAAATAACTCATGCGAAAACTAATGATTTATGGATAAGGACAAAAATTAGCTTGCAATATGGACTAGACACGATGTTTTCGTACATAAATGCTTCAACAATAGAGGTCAGATAACACCAATTTGAATGTAATTATGTATGATAACGAATATAAAATTATAACTGACCACATCATTTGTACTCGAAAATTGCGAGAAGCAGAAGCATTCAGACCACTTGCTAGAGCCTAAGAAAAAGTTGTTGCTGGAGATATCATCACAAAGGTAGTGATTGTAGAAGCTACCAAGCAGTGGCGGGCCCATAAATTTTATATAGGGGTGTCCCACAAAAAATATAAATTAAATTAATTAAAAATTAAGAAATTATTAAATAAAGCTATCCAACTAATACAAGTTAGTTACAAATCTATTCAATATATCTTACTAGAAAATTATCAGATAAATTATGTAACTCAGAGCTGAAAAAACTCTCTTAACACTTTGAGTTGAAATAGATAAAACCAATACAACTTTTGAAATAGATAAAACGATAGGTTCAATTTGTCTCAGCCATTAACTCAACTAATTCATTAGTTTCTTTTAATCCATAAAATAACTTATCATTTTTTACACAATAATAATAATGCTCAAAATAATGTAGAAGTACACAATGAGAGAGGTGACGAAACTCTTCACGATAAAATCATGTGTTTGAATACGGTGGGGATAAGGGATAGTCTGTGGGTTTAATTTTAGGCTTCGAAAAATTTGAGGATATATGAAAAAATCACAACAATAAATGAAGTGTACTCAAATAAAAAAGATGTTCACTAATAACTACTATGTTATATATTCGAATCACATACACTATCCTCTTTTTTCCATACTCATACTACTATCAAGGGCTGATTAATTTTTCTCCCAACACCCCACCGATACACCTGGTCCACCCTTGCTACCAAGTGAACTCTTGGTACGTTTGATACTATTTTTTTATATATGAGGGAGGCCACAAGCCATAATGGTAAAAACGGAAAACAAACTTACATCAGCCACAAGAACCACTGCTTACATGCAGGCTCTTGGCTGCAAACTGAAAGGGACTAAAGCAAACTGAACAGGCTATCCCGACGATATCATTCGTGGTAAG